ATTTGATGAGAAAGTATCATTTCGACAAAAACAATTATATAATATATCAAGCTTCGCTGCAAAAACTAGGTTGTATGGTAGTGAGAGGATAGAATTATTTTATTTTTTATATATTAGATCTAGACCTAGATATGAGTTGAATTTGATTCCCAAATCGTATGATTTTCTGAAAGCACGAAAGATAGACAAAATGTCGAAAAGAAGCTCGAACTTAAGTTTAAAAAAGTCGCCAGATAAGGATGGATAAATATTGGATTAATGGGCAGTCCAAGATCAAACAACCTGACAACAATGAATGACAAATCTCACAATCCAGACATAAGATTAAGTTGAAGCAGTTAGTTTGGTTTCCATCCCTGATAGCCTCAAAACTATGGTTATCTTCAAAAAACGGACTGAATCAAGGACATTTTAGTGGGGTGATAAATAACTCTGATAAGCTACTTACAGAATCAGAGCTGGAAATGAGAATGACCCCAACAATCTTGGCGCATCAAGAATCGACAGATAGAAACAATGTAACAAAAATATAAGATAATGGAGAAAATACGACTAAAATAGTCCAACTACCTGACAAAGGAGGTGAAACAGAGGTGAGAGAGAGAGAGAGAGAGGAAGGAATATATATAAAAATGAAAATATTATCGACTACATCACAACTTATTGGTTGTCAGCAAAATATGCAAAATATGAATAAAAGTGGCTTTCGAAGAAATTCGTAATGCTATATTATGACATGAATTTCCATTTCAAAGGAATATGTTATGACCGGAAACTGAAGGAGGATTGTCGCGTACGGAAAACTGTTGTATTGTGCAAAGAAGTCATCGGCTCACCATCCTGCGTCCAAGTTTTAGTCTGTACTGTGGCAGACATCATCACCACAATAATTCATACTTCATGAAATAGAGCAAAAATGTACTCAACCAAGAGAAAATGTGACCTCTGGCATCCTAGTCGCTTCTGTATGTATCTAACTTGACGATCCTAATGAAACTACTTCAAACTTACCCAACATGGTTTCACATGAGTGAAGTTACTTCAAAAATCGGAAATGCGTTCTGTGGCAACTGTCTACTTGCCTAAATAGATGAACTAGTGAACTAGCAGTGAGTCAAATGTTCTCTCATGTTTGAGTTTTACTGGTATCTTTTGTGTTTATGCATTGCTCATGTCATGGGAAATGTGATAATCCAGCCTCCTTCCTCACCCACTACTCATTTTCCTACACTGAGTCCTCCTATTCAGAATGTTGGCTGTTTTATTAATTTCTATAAACTCCTCAAACTTACACTTTCATCTGAAATCCCGGTAGCCTACAAAACGCTATGTTTTGGACCAGTCAATCGAGTTCTCTGTATAGACTCTTCTGGATGGGTCGGCAGTCGTGCCCCACACAGAACTTGACGCATGAACAAAATACCTTGTAGCAGCATGATCTAGAAAAAGGGTATGAAAGTTCGTTGAACGAAGTGTCAATTTCTTTTTAAGCATCATTCCCAACTTTTTCGCAAGCTGACAAGTTGAATGGACCAATTGTCTATCTCGCCAGTTGAAATACCATTATTTACTCATCCTAAGAGGTAATTGTTTTGAATCAGTATATTCTTTAATCTGGTCCTTCTGGTTTACGTCTGCTAGACTCGGACTGCTTATTAGCATTGAGCCCATAACTCCAACTTTAACCCCATTTTTATGATTGGATAATATTTGCTTAAATTATTGCCTTCTTTCCTCACTAATATATCCCAAAAGGGGAAATGATTTTCCTTTTCTAACTCCATAGTGAATTAATTATCGGCATCTATTCTATTTGGTAGATCAAATAATTCACCAAAACTATCATTTCCCTTTGCCAAGCGGACAAGTAATCGTTCATACAACGAACTAATAACTTGGGAACGAGGACAGCCCCGCGAAACACACGAATTTCTAATTGGGCTAAACAATATGTCATAGCCAAACGCCTTGCCGTATCATACAACTTACCAAAATATGTATTATGAAGAGAAGCTGTGTTTCGAAGAATCCCTCAAATAGATTGATACTGGCATAACTTTAATTTCGTTTGGGTAGGCGGGTCGAAGGGACTCGTAGATTGGCATCACCGGATACCGTAGAAGTGTTGTCTGGTACTTTTGTCTGTTGAATTGTAAAAAGACCACGGATCACCGTCTTACGACCCCGGTCTTAATGAGGCATTCCATGATTTGGTTGGCTGAAATAGTCTTGTCTTACATGCATTTAAGTGGATCAAAGTGAGGCAATAATAGGAGCGGATGTGGTCACAAATCTTGTGTGTGGATCTTGATGCAGCTTCGTGGATGTGTGTTTGTGTGTGTGTGTGCAACAGCCCCGAGTTAGTTGACAATTTTAGGTTCAAAAACAGCTTCTCTTACTCAGTGACTCTTTCTGCTCCTTTCCTTCTCTCTCCGTCTCATTCTATTTAGAAGCCAGAGCTAGTTCATACTTAGATTCTCACATTCCTTCATCTTATTCAGTATGTCCTTTGTTAAATTTATCTTAATCTTCCGTTTAACTGTGAAGTCTCCATATCCAGCAAAACTTTAGGGTTTAGACCACTCTATCTGATGTCCTGTAGCGACCACATGTTCAACCACTTCCCATTTCTGAATCCATAAAGCTTTGCAGGCAGTTGTGTGTTACGTCTTACCCACATAAATACTACCACATGAGCACAAAACCTTATAACAACCTGATCTGCAGAGAGAGTCTGAAGATTCTCTAAAAAAGCCATGATCGAGGAAAGAATTATTGTTTCTGTATACCTTGTCTTGATACTCAATTTCCTCATTAATTCGCTTGCGAGATTGTGGCATGAGGAACCTGGCCGAAGAGTTGTCTAATTGCTTGTTTTGGCCGAAATAATGGTTTTTCTTTAAACTATTTCTCAATTAATCCTACAGGATAATTGTTCTCAACTGAGCATTTTCTTAGCCTTTCTAACCCATGTTCTTGATGAGTTACGTCGGCTCGACGTAAACCACTTGGTGAAAAATTTCCAAGTTTCGGAGATTTACTTTAACTGAGTACACATAAATCGTGATGTTTCATACATCACGCTAACTCTCATTTTCATTTTCCCAATTCTCATCTGTTGCAGAAGATCCTCAACTCTGACCTTAAGGCCTTCTGTCGAGTCCCTGATTATCGTTTCCTATGTTGCATCATCGTCTAATGCCTCTAACATTTTCTCTACAGAATCACTCCCATTCATAAATACTACTGCTCCTCCTCTGTCTGCTTTTAATACTAATTGCTACTACTCTTACTCTTGTATGATGTTTCTGCATGACCATCAACTGAAGAGAAAACTTATAATTCAATGTCCTTCCTGTATCTTCTGGGAATATATTCGTTAAACTTATCAGTTCTACCAAAATTTCCTTTTTGAAGTTCATTTAAAGTAAGCAAACAGGAAGAGCCTCTGAGCAAGAGAAGAATATATTGGCTTCGATTCCAGCAAAGACTATCCCACATGGACAATACATACACACAATAGACAATAGCACAAGCCCAAACATGAGTCCACATTAGAGGATTGTACACTAGTTTATGTGTTTATGGAAACCGCTGACACCGAACGCAGTTCCGGTTGGGAAAATGACTTACCTCATTTGTAGGCATGTGGAGTAAGGTTTAAGTAGCCAATCAAATCATGAGATGCATCAGAAAGATCGCGAAGTTAACTGTATAGAAGAGCGACTATGGTGCATCCGGCCAGCTTTACTCTTGATATAGTACAACAATTGAACAGAAAATTGGTCAAGGGGATTGCCTCCATTTGTCACTTTTATTAGTGACTCACGATGCAGGCAAAACGTCTAGAAATGTGCAAAGTCAACGGTCCGATAGTGGAAATCATCATGAACATTATGTCAGAAGATTGTGAAATTTGATGAGAAAGTATCATTTCGACAAAAACAATTATATAATATATCAAGCTTCGCTGCAAAAACTAGGCTGTATGATAGTGAGTGCAAAGTCAACGGTCCGATAGTGGAAATCATCATGAACACTATGTCAGAAGATGCAGGAATAGCCAGGTTACACGACCAATTTGCGAAAAAGAGATCAAGTCATCATCATACAACTAGAAGAGACATCGAACAAATTTACTCTTGTGTATAGTCAAGTTTAATAAAATCTCTTTTCAAAATAAAAATGTAATAAGCGAGGGATAACAAAAAACAAATGCTTAAATGAATTAAGTAACCTTGGTGATGATAAAGTCCGATAAGGCCACCTTAGAGGCCCGCAAATTCTCAGCAACTTCAGACAGAAGATTGTGTATGGCTATGATGACCGTGTCACGAGAGGCACCGGACAGTAGTTGTGAGACGCAGTCACGACCGACATGCACCGCCAATCTACACCAATCTCGGCGAACAATATCCAAACCTTTAAGTTCCTGTTTAGTGGGCAGAGGTGGAAGTGGAAGAGTCTGAGAAGTTGGATGTTGCATAGAACGAAGTTTACAAGCCCACTGCATAGGATTGACTACTGCTAGAGCAGCATACTTTTTCTTGGCCAGCAACAGAATGCTAGCGTACACGCCGTCGGTGTCCAATTCAAGAAGCCGATATTGCTTATTAACTTCAGAGCGAACTTTATCTCCGATTGCCAAAGCCGCCAAGAGGTCAGTGGTGTTCGTGTTGACCATGATGGAATCAGTGTCGCCGTAGATTACCTGTTATGGTCAGAATGGAACATTAATTAGAAAATGAAAAAGTGATCGGATTATGTCAAATAAATATTAAACTTCAACAATTAATTTTCATGACTACAAATAAATCAGTAGTATAACATGTATTCACCCAATTTCGTTTAAGGATGAGAACAACTTTTTGGAAAGCAAGACTATGTGAAATTAAATGAAAACGTCAGCTCAACTGATATCATTGTGGGAAAATTTTTCTTCTACCAGTCCTTCATCACCTTAAACGAAATTGTGTAAATACTTGTCATACTACTGATTTACTGATAGTCACGAAAACAATACTTAA